GTTCATCCTCTGAGATTGCCCCTCCCTAGCGTCCACCATGACCCCCAAGTCCTCTTCCGTGTGCTGTCATTTGGATGCTCAGAATGAGTGTTGCATAGAATCTGTAGCTTGTTGTGCGCGGCGGCCAAACCTATGGGGGTGCCGAGAACAAATACTAATGCCAAGAGAGAAAGACAAACAGTCCAAATAATGGCAACAACACAACAAATTTTATGTGGTTCGACAAGTTGCTTACGTCCGCGAGGCAAGAAGGGAATGGGTTTTTACTAATAGAGAAGAAGAGTACAAATAGATATTACAAATCCACAAAGTAATCTCTCACACAAAGCTCTCAATCTCTCAAACAAAACCCTAACCAATAGCTCTAGAAAAGACTCTTTTCTGTGCTCAAAACAACCCTAATTCACTCTCTTAGAAACCCTAAATCATGTTTGTATTTATAGCAAACACAAAACCAAATCAGAACAGAAAACCAAATTCTGGGCCTGACCCGACTAGCGGTCGACCGCCCAACGATAGAACCCAGAAAACAATTACTATGTTTGGCGATCGATCGTGACGGTCGACCGCACCAAGTCACCGCACCAAGTCCAGATACATATCCCTTGTCTATGCACTTATTCAGTCGACCGGCCTAGCCTCACGATCGACCGAACATCACCAAAAAATATTTCCCTGCTTCCAAAACCTATTCTTCTCCAATTTCTTTGCCAATTCTACAATTTTCCACCTCGATGAAGATTTCCCAAAAATGAGCCGACACCAATACGAACCAAACATCCCTCTTGTTGCGTCCAATACGAAGTGGAACAAAACCACGACAATGGACTCAATCTACAACAAGTCAAGAATCCAAACGAGAATGCGAATAAACTCCAAATGTCGGTATCAACTAACAAAATCGGCTGCCTCATAAAATGACTGCATACGTATCCTCTTGCCTAATGAATCAAGCATTCACGTAGTTCACCAAATAGCCTCCAAAGGCCTTCAATCAACTAGAAGAGTTATTAACCCTTCTCCAACATCACGATTATCACCAATAAATCTGCAACTGATATTACTCCCAGTGGCCCCAAAATGTAATGAACCAAATACCTCCATCTATGATGAACCAGCGGTCATAAACAAATCCAAACTGTGTTCACCAGCTGCACTCGAATCAACCAACTCATCATGTGCATCTACATCAACATGATCCCCAATCTGTGTCACCTCAGCTGAAATCCCAAACGAAATAGAATGATTTGGTGTACGTGGAGTAATCTCCACCTAACGTGGACTAGCATCAATCTCAACCCGCAGTGATATCCCAATTATCTTTCCAACACTCTCTACCTATCATGAGTCAAATGTGACATACCTACTCAGGACAATATCAGAGTCTAAAATCTAATAACCAAACATGACTCTGAATCCAACATGTACACTCGGATCAAATCTCACATCCTCGATGTGATAATATGTTGGGTAACCAAATATCCGAAGTAACCCAAAATCTGAAACAGCTCTACCAGATGCAAATACTCCAATTGCGATAGTCGGTAACCTATGAATAAGATGGCTCCAATATGTCAAAACCTCAACACCAAAATTCCTGTGCAAACCAATGCTCGACATCAAACACTGATCCTCCTCCAGAAAGGAACGGCTCATCAAATCTTCCACCTCATCTCATCTCCCTAATGCTTCTTCTCCAATGAAGTATCTCAAACTACTGTGAGCTCGGCACAAATGCCGAAAAGAAACCCTACCAAAATCAGAACGACGTATTACCTTACTGCCAATACACATCTTCCACATATTGTTGACTACTAGGACTTCACACCAACGGGACATGGTTGCAACACACAAATACCTAGAACAGTCACGAACACAGAAAACCAAATACCTATTACCCCCTAATGATTTCTCCTTGGAAGGCCCCCAAATGGCTGAATGAACACCACCTGGAAGACCCTTCGCTCAGTGAATAAAAGTGTCAAACTCCACCTCGGTCTTCTTGCTCATACTAATGTGTTCACAGGACCTTAATCTGTAGGTCAAAGCACTCCTTAATAATCCATACACGACATCAACAATCAAATATCCCAGCATCCATAAACACTACAGTCTAGCCAAATTCAAAGAAGTCGTCAACTCTTCACCAATTACCGTGCTCCCAGTCAAATAGTACAAATTCTTCTTTCTGATGCCCTTCATCATAATCATGGACCTAAATGTGACCTTCAAAGATACATCCTCTAAGGTCACCCGATAGCCTGCTGCCTCCAAAACTCTAAGTGAAATGATGTTCTTCTTCAAGTGCGGAACGAACCTCACTTCATCCAACTCTCAAATCACCCCATCATACACCCTAATACGAACGATACCAATACCATCAATAGGGCATTCATGATTATTATCCATGAGCATGACATTCCCTCTTTCCATCTCCTTAAAGTTAGAGAACCAATCCCTCCTAGGACAAATATGGTAAGAAGCACCCGAATCAAACATCTACTCTATAGAGTCGGCAACACAAACTGACGGTAGTGTAGGGCACGAATAGCCTGAAGAATCTGAATCTGAATTGTCGCCACTAGTCTTAGAAACATTCACCTCTGAAGCTTGAATAGCTTTCCCCTTATTCTTTCCGGCTCGATCTGTCAACTTTGGGCATTCGGTTTTCCAATACCCATCTTCTTTACAAAAGGCACATTGATTCTTACTAACTACAGGGTGTGCTCCTGTAGACTATTATCTCCCACTATGGTTTGGACTCTTCCATCTTGCGGCCAATGCCCCCGCTATTGTATCAATTGAAGTCTCTTTATCCTTCTTTCGAAGCTGATAATTCACAAGTGTAGCGGTAACCTTACTATACGAAAAGATGTCTTTCTATTAATAAGAGTAAAAAAGAAGGTCTCATATTCCTCGTTGGGCAAAGAACTCAACAATAACAACGTCTTGTCTAAATCTTTAACCATAACATCTACATTCGCCAAATCCACAAGAAGCTTCATGTAGTGGTTCATGTGATCACTAATGAAGATCCCCTTCTTTAATTAGAAACGGTAAAGCCTCCTCTTCAAATACAAGCGATTTTCCACACTCTTCGTCAAATACTTGCTCTCTAGGATCTCCCAAATCTTCTTAGCCGAAGTCTCATTGATGACATCATATTTCAAATCTTGTGTTAAACAAGACCTAATCACACCACATGCCATTCGATTCATCTTCTTCTAAACATTCTCCTCAATGTCGTTCGATTTCCCGTCCAAATCCAAAGTGTACTCCAAATTTTGCGTATTGAGCGCATCCAAGACTTCACATCTCTAAAGACCAAAATTATTAGTGTCGTTAAATTTCTCCATATCTATCTTCATAGAGTGAATATTCAAACTTTGGACGATCTTCATGTCAGAAGTACCCTCCACCACTCCTTCTTTCTCGGCCATCTTCCTTAAAGTACTACCAAACCAATGCGGAACAAATAAAGAATGGATCCAAACTAAAAAAGAGAGATTTTTATAACTCCAAATGAAGCCCTAATAAGAGCCTCCGAAAGATCTCAACCCCACACGACGAAAACGAGATCTACAATAGTAAAAATCCCACCTTTATCACCAACTGAAACCCTAGATGAGCTTCCAAAGCGATCTACTCCTACACCTAGCCCAAGCGTAGCCAAAGCTCTGATACCATTTGTTGTGCACGACGGCCAAATCGATGGGGGTGCCGAGAACAAATACCAATACCAAGAGAGAAAGTCAAACAATCCAAATAACGGCAATAACACAAACAATGAATTTTACGTGGTTTAGCAAGTTGCTTACGTCCACGGGGCAAGAAGGGGATGGGCTTTCACTAATAGAGAAGAAGAGTACCAATAGAGATTACAAATCCACAAACTAATCTCTCATACAAAGCTCTCAATCTCTCAAACAAAATCCTAACCAATAGCTCCAGAAAAGACTTGTTTCTGTGCTCAAAACAACCCCAATTCACTCTCTTAGAAACCCTAAATTGTGTTTGTATTTATAGCAAACACAAAACCAAATATGAATAGGAAACCAAATCCTACGCCTGACCCAACTGGCGGTCGACCGCCCAAAGCTCCCGGTCGACCGCGACTAACGACAGAACATAGAAAATAATTACAGGGTTTGGCAGTCGACTGTGACGGTCGAACGTACCAAGTCAAGATTCATATCCCTTGTCTGTGCACGTATTCGGTCGACCGGCCTAGCCTCACGGTCGACCGAACATCACCAAAAAATGTTTCCCTGCTTCCAAAACCTGTTCTTCTTCAATTTCTTCGCCAATTCTACATAGCTCTCGTACCAATTGATACAGTCTTGCTAGGACTGCAACCATATCAAGCTTGCAACATCCATTGTTTACGAAAAGCATGCTGATGCAGAGAACATGCAGGAAATCTTTTCCCCTCCTCATCACCTTCCTCAATTAGTATAATAGGTGTTGGTTGCAGGTGAATGCGCGGTAGCTTTTCGCCTTAGGATTTGATTGCTTCCTTCCCATTGTGTGAAAAACATTAATTGTAGTCTGTTGATGAGAGAGGATTTACGTTTCATGTAGGCTAATAGTTTTTATTTGTTACAATTGTAATTTTGTTCTATCTTCCTTTGTCCAGTGGATCAAATTAAAAACTAATCAGCAAAGCCCAAAGTCCACTCCCATTTAATGCTACACATGTCTCGTTATCGGGGGCACATGTCATTTTATTTTATTTTATTTTATTTTTCTCGAGGAGGTTCTATAATAAGAAAAACCCAAAGTCTACCCTCCTTTCACAAACTTCCATAGCTTAATAATTCAATAGAAGCAACCAAAGCGAAATGAACTCTCGTGGAAGTGTAATGACGATTGTAGCTAGTTATTTATAACAATAAATGATCCGATGACATCGTAGAGATTCATAGAAAACTCAAAGTCTTCTCTCCTGTGGAGAAGTTCATATATAGAAAAAAATATTGCGAGGGAAGAAACACAGACAAATGGAGTACTTGTCATCTCTTATCCTCCCCTCAGCACTATTCCTGCTCTCATCCCTCTGCTTCATCCTCCTCTTCAGCATTAATCGTCGACTACCAAACACCACAACCGCTGCCACTGTCATCAGGGGCTACCGGATCATCAGAAACCTCCTTCTTTTCCTCAAGAACAGCCATCGAATTATTGAATGGTCGGCGGAAGTCCTCTCCACAGCCTCTTCATCAACCATCACCATCGCCCCCATCATATTCACCTCAGACCCCAAAGTCATCGAGTACATCGCCAAGACTCGCTTCGACAACTACGCTAGGGTTGAGGAAATCAACGCCGCGCTTGAAGATTTATTAGGCAGTGGTATAGCCAACGTCAATGGAGAACAGTGGAAACTCCAGCGAAAGATGGCAAGCCCGGAGTTCAGCCCTAATTCTCTGCGCTCTTTCTTGCATGATGTAGTCCAGTATCGGATTGATGAGAGGCTGGTACCTTTGCTGAGAGACGCCAGTAACAGTGGTCGAGTTGTTGATCTCCAGGACCTGCTCGAACGCCATGCGTTTGACGTTATTTGCAATCTCGTCCTCGGCGTTCAGCCTGATTGCCTCTGCAACAAGAGGGGCGAAGGCGAGAGGTTCTACAAGGCATTCCGTGAAGCGACAGATATATCAATCAAGAGGGGATTGATGACTTCCGTATCAACTTGGAGGCTTAAGAGATCACTGAATATTGGATCAGAGAGACGCTTGAAGGAATCGGTGGCAACTGTTCATGAATTTGTCAATAATTCCGTTAAATTACGAACACTGCAGCGGAATACTGGCGGTGATGATAGTGGTGGAGATTTCCTGTCTAGATTCGTCCACAGTGACGAGAGTCTCTCGGATGAATTTATCCGAGATGTGCTGATCAACTTCTTAGTCGCAGGGGACACCACGCCATCTGCTCTCACTTGGTTCTTCTGGAACCTCTCCGCTAATCCAGATATTGTTACGAAGATACAAAAAGAGCTTAAATCGATTCAAAATCTTCATAACCCGGAGGCTTTCACCCTCAGTAAGCTTCGGGAGATGAACTACCTCCATGCAGCAATCTCAGAGTCTATGCGGCTGTACCCGCCAATACCATTAGTTCCGAAAAAGTGCTTAGAAGACGATGTGCTTCCGGATGGGACACCAGTGCAAAAAGGCTGGATGGTGTTCTACAATTCTTATGCGATGGCGAGGAAGGAGGCGATATGGGGAGAGGATTGCTTCGAGTTCAGGCCGGAGAGATGGCTTGATGACGAAGGCGTCTTCAAGCAGAGGAATGCATTTGAGTTTCCAGTGTTTCATGCTGGGCCAAGAGCTTGCCTGGGGAAGGAGCTGGCATATTTGCAGATGAAGGCGGTGGCAACGAGCGTGCTGGAGAGGTTTGACGTGGAGGTGGTGGAGGAGAGAGCGGAGTTTGAGCTGGGGTTGACGTTGAGGATGAGAGGAGGGTTGCCAGTGAGGATCAAGGAGAGACGAGTTTGAGCGGGTAAATATTGTGTCCACATTCTCCACCATCTTGGTTGTAAAGAATGTATACAACTAGTGGATTAATGGTATTAGTTTATGCTAGTATTTTTATATTACTTAGGTAATTAATATCATGGATTAATGGTATTAGTTTATGCTAGTATTTTTATATTACTTAGGTAATTAATATCATTTATGAGGTCCAGTGAGTGAAGTGTTTTGATTAATGAGTTATAGAGAATCTCTACAATCAAAGGTTGTAGACAGAATCTTAGCCTTTGTCAAAAGAGGATCGAAGGTGTTTACTCAACAAAGAGAATCTCTACCCTAAATATTTGGTATTTGAGTGAATTTACATGTATTGCAAATTTGAGAATCTCTACCTATTCAATTTCTTCACTAAAAATAAACAAAAATATCCTTAAGAAAATTCACATTTAAGACATGCGACTTGTTTGTTCATGTTTAAGTCTTGTTAGGATATAAGCTACATAGCTTTAACATGAAAAGGCTATCCTTTTTTTTAATGAAAATTTAATTACGAGGTTGTTTTTTTTTGTCAATGAAACAATTTTATTCACTAACCAAGTGTGAAAGTTATATGTACATCAGATACTCAGTAATCCTATACTGAGATTACAAAAGAAAATCAAAAAAGAATATCCAAAAGAATCAGATACTCAAAAAACAGATAAACTCAAGACAACATCACTACTAGCAATTGAAGGGGTGTTGAGGATGGATGTGAGGACAAAAAACAGATAAACTCAAGACAACATCACTACTAGCAATTGAAGGGGTGTTGAGGATGGATGTGAGGACATCAATCTTGATATCTCTAACCAAATTCACTACTAGCAATTGAAGGGGTGTTGAGGATGGATGTGAGGACATCAATCTTGATATCTCTAACCAAATCATCAATACTTCTAGTCTTTTGCTGGAACAGCCTCAAATTTCCCTCTCTCCAAATGAAGTATATAGTGGTAGTCAAAGCCATCTTCTTGAGCTATTGCTTTAAACCCCTACCCTTTAACCTGTACACATACGAGTTCATTATCTGGAGCCAATTGTAAGATCTCCATTTAAAATTCATCCAGCTCATGATACAATTCCAGATATTTGCCAAGAAAACACACTCAAAAAACAGATGGTTTCTTGTTTCATTTGCTGTACCAGAACAAAGAATGCATGTATTTGCATTTATAACTCCTCTCCTATGAAGTCTGTCCTGTGTGAGTAATCTATCTTGAAAAGAAAGCCAACTAACAAATGAATGTTTAGGAAAATTTAATCCCCCCCAGACTGTCTTGAACCATGCCACATCAGTTGCAGCAGATTGAATTGCATAATATAATGCAGACAGTTTAACTTTTTCCTCCTTGCAGCATGAACTGATCAGGCATTTCAAATTTTCCACTCCTCCATACAACACCAAAGCTTTATCCCTTATTTTTAACAATTGTTTCCACAATCATGAGTCACCAACTCTTGCTTTGACCTGCCAAATACCCTCATGTTTTAAATAGACACCATGTATCCATTTAATCCACAGAGATTCCTTTTTGATATTAATATCCCAGATACATTTCAGAGCGGAAGCTGTATTCCAAATAGGAGCTAAAAAAATCCCCAAACCTTCTTTCTTCCTCTCCATGCAGACTCTCTCCCATGCTACCAGAGGGATTCTGAGATTTTGACCTGTTTTCCTCTTTCTTCCTCTCCATGCAGACTCTCTCCCATGCTACCAGAGGGATTCTGAGATTTTGACCTGTTTTCCCCCACAAGAATCTCCTACATAACCCATCCATTTCCTGGAAAACACTAGCTGGAAGAATATAATTTGATGTCCAGAATATTTGAACACCAAGGAATACACTCTTAATAATTTGCAATCTACCTGCATAAGACAGAAACCCGTGATTCAACCATTTTTGAAATTGTTCCGAGATCTTTGAGAGGAGGGAATTGCAGTCCATGTAAGACAATTTCCTAGTTGTGAGAGGAACTCCCAGATACTTGAATGGCATAGCACCTTCAGAGAACCCTAAGTAGTTGTTAATGGAGGATTTAACAGAATCATCAATACCACCATAGAAAACAGAGCATTTCTCAGGATTAGCCTCAAGTCCAAATACAACATTGAACTCTTTTACACATTGGAATAACTTGTGCACTGAATATACATCACCCTTGGCAAAGAGGAGGAGATCATCTGCAAAAATTAGGTGATTTATTTTGAGCTGACTGCACTTGGGGTGAAACTTAAAGAGTCTGTCATTCTTGAGCATCCCCAACTTCCTAGAAAGATACTCCATTCCTAGAATAAACAGATAAGGAGAAAGATGGTCTCCTTGTCTTAAGCCACGTTTGCCTTTGAAATAGCCATAGAGAGAACCATTAAGAGATAAAGAATAACTTGGAGAGGTAATACAAGCTAAAATCCAACCAATCATGACCTGCGGGAATCCCAAACCATGAAGTAGATCAGACAGAAAAGACCAGCTGATGGTGTCAAAGGCTTTCCTTATATCAATATTAAGCATGGCTCTAGGAGAGAGATGCTTCCTGTTGTAGCTATTCACCAGTTCATGAGCCAATTTGAAATTACGAGGTTGTTGATTGCAATACAAAGCTAATTTAAAATTGTTTATGTAAAAATTAAATGTCAAAGATGGTTTCCGTATATTACTCTATTTTTATAGTGGTTCTAGAAAAAAAAACCTTTTGTTTTTGTTATCATCGAGATATGTTATAATTGTAAAATAATAATTTTAAGGGGTTTTTATCTTTAGGTCCATTTGTTTACTCCCATTTATCTTTAAACCCAAGTTCTATTATTTGTATTTTTAAGCCCAATTCACTTTTGGTATTTGTCTTTAAACCCAATTACTTGTATTTATACAGAATGAATGTAAAAACCCAAAATACCCCTTTGATTGGCCCAATAAAACCCAGTATCTCTCTCATCTTCCTCATTTCATCTCACAGCCCTAAATTGAAAAAACGAGATCCCCTTTTCGTCGTCGCCCGTCTCCAGCCGCCGACGCCCCGTTCTAGCCGTCGCCCGTCTCCGGCGTCGATGTCCCTGTCCCTCTCTCTCCAGCTCGTGCCTTCCCATTTCCGTCATCTCCATAAATGCGTCCCTCTTCAAAATTCTGATGATCATGTCCTCTTGCTCTTCTGGTAATTTTCCCCCCTCCTGGGTCTTCTTCAAGCCATCGATTCTGCTTTGAAAACCTTTCCTCCCCACCAATTATTTTATTGCTCTGAACAATTATTTAATTAATCGGTCGTGCGCGGTGAACAGATTTGAGAGGGAGCTATTGAGGGGGGCCGGGCTTGGTGAATGGCTCTGACGCGCGCCATTTGATGGTCTGGAGCTCTTGGTCGCTTGGAGCATTGTTCAGGTTATTATTATTATTATTTATTTATTTTCCTTTTTACGGGTGTTGTTCAATTTTGACGTTCAGTTGGTGGTGCTTGCTAATTTTGTCATGTCGCATCAATTTCCTCCATTTGTGAAATTATTAGCTGCTATGTTTCGAAATAAAAAGCGCTTTTGGGCACAGGTTCTTATCACGGAGGTGGATATTTGGGATAAGTTGCCTTTTGAAAAGGTGGTTTGCTAATTTTTTGCTGTCTAGATAAAGACCCGCCGCATGCTTAATTAATTTTTCGTTTGGGGTGGGGGGGGGAAGGATTCTTGATATTTGACCCCAAAACTATATATATTCTGGTGTTACTGCTATAAAAAGAGAAAAAAATCGATGAGCACAGCAGGATGTCGGCACCTAATACATATGCTTCGAGCCTTGGTGAATAAAAATGAGGAGAGCACATTTTTCATGCTAATGTAGTGTTCACTCAGATATAGATTATCAACAAGTGAGGAGTCGTTGATTTTAGTGTGGGCAAAATTTCAAACCAATATCTTGTAGTTTCTTAATATTTAGGTTGGTCGATCATATGTTTCTTATATCCATGAGTTAGTGAAGTTAACTGAAAACTTTAACTTTCTGTGATTAATTATCATCTTCGATAGCCACTTGAGGAGGCTGAACTCTCAAATATCACACAATTATACCAGAAACTATGACAACCAATAAATGTAAGCCATTCATTGTTCAGTAAAGAGCAAGGTGGGCATCACTAACTTGAGGGAAACATGTTTTGTGTTCAATTCTGTTTTGATAATAAATATAGATAAGTTTATCCAAACAGAATCCTACTAAATGTTAAAACATTGAACTTAAAATTATTATGTTTTGTTGATCAGAACTTAAAATTATTATGTTTTGTTGATCAGAACTTAAAATTATTATGTTTTGTTGATCAGAACTTAAAATTATTATGTTTTGTTGATCAGAACTTAAAATTATTATGTTTTGTTGATCAGAACTTAAAATTATTATGTTTTGTTGATCAGCGCATGATGACTAATTAAGTACATTTTCAACCATATAAATTACAGGAGGAGCTGATCAAGGAGCTCGATTTGATTCTCGAGAGCTGCAGTAGGTTCTTAGTGGATCATGGTAAATATTTCTTGTATAGGATGTTGCATTCAACTAAACAATATAAATTACATTTTGGATATTTGGATTGTAGTTTGTGGTTTTCTAAACTCTGACAAAAAAATTTCTATTGATGGCTGGTTGTTTAACATTCTAATTTTTTTCAGGGTTAAAAAGGGTCACCAATTGTTTCTTGCTTCACTTGATGGAGTTTGGCCCTTTGAAGCTTACTGATCCTTCGAAGATTGGTGGGCTGTTGAACGGGTTGAAAACTATGAGGATGAATAACCCCTTTTGGCAGTCTTTATGGTGAATCTATGTTTTTTAACATTCCTCAGCTTTTGGCTATGTTTGTGACTGTGAATGTATCTGAAATACGTGTGAGGATGTTTTGTACCATATATGTGAGGATGTTTTGTAACATATCTCAATTTGTGTTGCAAGTGTAACATATATGCGAGGATGTTTTGTAATATGCGAGGATGTTTTGTAACATATAGGCGAGGATGTTAAAATTGGTCATTGTTAAAATTTGTTTGATCTCTCAACTTGTGACTGAATTTAGTGGTGAGTTTGTAGCATATTTCAGCTTGTGATGGTGTTTGTGATTGAAAATGTACCGTGTTAAGTGTAGAGGATGTTTTGTAACATATCTATGTTTGTGATTGAAAGTGTAGCGGGTTATACTGTAAGTGTAGCGGGTTACACTGTAAGTGTAGCGGGTTACACTGTAAGTGTAGCGGGTTATCGTGTAAGTATAGCGGGTTATCCTGTAAGTATAGCGGGTTATCGTGTAAGTGTAGCGGGATACACTGTAAGTGTAGCGGGCTATCATGTAAATGTAGCGGGTTACATTGTAAGTGTAGCGGGCTATCCTGTAAGTGTAGCGGGTTACACTTATCCCGTAAGTATAGCGGGTTATCCTGTAAGTGTAGCGGGTTATCGTGTAAGTGTAGCGGGTTATCGTGTAAGTGTAGCGGGTTATCGTGTAAGTGTAGCGGGTTATCGTGTAAGTGTAGCGGGTTATCGTGTAAGTGTAGCGGGTTATCGTGTAAGTGTAGCGGGTTATCGTGTAAGTGTAGCGGGTTATCGTGTAAGTGTAGCGGGTTATCGTGTAAGTGTAGCGGGTTATCGTGTAAGTGTAGCGGGTTATCGTGTAAGTGTAGCGGGTTATCGTGTAAGTGTAGCGGGTTATCGTGTAAGTGTAGCGGGTTATCGTGTAAGTGTAGCGGGTTATCGTGTAAGTGTAGCGGGTTATCGTGTAAGTGTAGCGGGTTATCGTGTAAGTGTAGCGGGTTATCGTGTAAGTGTAGCGGGTTATCGTGTAAGTGTAGCGGGTTATCGTGTAAGTGTAGCGGGTTATCGTGTAAGTGTAGCGGGTTATCGTGTAAGTGTAGCGGGTTATCGTGTAAGTGTAGCGGGTTATCGTGTAAGTGTAGCGGGTTATCGTGTAAGTGTAGCGGGTTATCGTGTAAGTGTAGCGGGTTATCGTGTAAGTGTAGCGGGTTATCGTGTAAGTGTAGCGGGTTATCGTGTAAGTGTAGCGGGTTATCGTGTAAGTGTAGCGGGTTATCGTGTAAGTGTAGCGGGTTATCTTGAAAGTGTAGCGGGTTACACTGTAAGTGTAGCGGGTTATCCTGTAAGTGTAGCGGGTTACATCGTAAGTGCGACAGGTTATCCTGTAAGTGTAGCGGGTTATTCTGTAAGTGTAGCGGGTTATCCTGTAAGTGTATAACACTCATAAAATTTCACAAAATAGCACTCACAAAATTGCCAAAATTGCACAAAATTCCAGTCTTACAAACTCCAAAATTGCACAAAATTCTACAATAACGAAATTGCACTATCAACACTTTCATTATCTACTTTCAAAAACTTACAATCTAAAACAATATGTTACAAATCAAACTCCAAAATTACACAAATCTTCAAGGAAAACTCCAAAATTTCACAATCTTCAAGACAAGCTCCAGAACCGCCCCAAGCTCCTCCCTGTCCCGTTGACGCCCTCGACCACCGCCGCAATCACCTCGTTGACGCCCAAACCGCTGCCCTCCATCACCCGCCACCCAGGTCCGTCCAAGCCTCGACGCCAAGCTTCCCCAGATCCATGCTCCGCGCCCTAACACCTCTCCCCCACCACACCGAGCACCACCTCCGTTCACCACCTCCCTCAACGCTACCTCCGGCCTCCTCCGCCACCCGCAACGCCGCTCACCCTTGCCTTCTTCCCCGAACCCGACTCACCGCCCACTCCATCTCCTCTGTTCACCTTCCTCAGCCACGCCAAAACAACCCGCCAAGCCCAACGCACCGGCCAGCCCGCGTCTCCCTTGCCCACCACCTCCGCCTCCATCGCTGCCTCCTCAAGCCGCGCCTCCACCGCAAGATCCTCGCCGCCTGCCGCGCCTTCCAGAGGTGGGATCGGAGGAGGAAGACAAAGACTTGAGGAAGAAGGAAAATGAGGAGAGAGAAGGGGGGCTGGTTTAAGTAGGGTATTGAAAGGGGTATTTTGGGGATTTTATCATGTTGGTGTATAAATACAAGTGTTGTATATACTGTATTTTAGAAATTGGGTTTAAAGACAAAAACAAAAAGAAAATTGGGTTTAAGAATACAAAAAATAATGATTGGGTTTATAGGTAAAGATAAGTAAACAAATGGGCCTAGAAATAAAAAACCCTAATTTTAAACTACAGCAGTGTGCATCGAGCTTTACGTTAATGATTAAGTGTTTTATGTCCACAAACTTTAGGTCAACGGTTAGTTTGAATAAATTTTCTTAAAAATCTGCACTATGGCGTTTAAATATAACATCCAATAATTGAATTGCATGTGACTCTCATGTGCCACCAGGTGGCAATTAATCCTTCTCACCTCTAGGTTAGCTGCTTAAAAAATATTATATAATAACATGACAATTAAATTAGGCTCCGTGCGGTTTCAAGGAATGATTTTAAAGTTTAGAATTCTAAGTTTGAATTAAATAGAAAATTTAATGTTTTAATACTCTAAGATCCTAGGAGTAATTTGTACTCTTTCTACAAGATTGGTTGTAAGATTTTTCAGGTGGTTGTTTAAAAAGTTGAGATTTTATAGTTGGCTATTTGAAGGGGTCAAAATTTTAACGGCGTTTTTCATATTTTTTAAAAAAAGGCTATTTGTAATTTTAGAAATTTAAGAGGTTATTCATAATTTTAGAGGTTGTTGGTAAATTTCAAATTATAAGAGTGTTTTTCATAATTTTATATTTTAAGTGTACTTTTTGTAATTTGTATATTTTTAGGAAATTTTTGTAAATTTTAAAACTTCAAGGTGCTGCCAATAATTTCAGACGTCGCAGAGAGCTCTTCATGACTTTCTTATTTTCAGTCTTCTTCCTTCTTGTTCTTATTTTAAATTTTTTTGAGTATTGTTCGCAATTTTTTGTGGCTATTATTATAATTTTTAAAATTTGAAAGTGTTCTTTGTAATGCCAACTTCTTGAGGGGGATATTTATAATATTTTTTTATTATCGAGGAGTCTTTTTATAGTTTTGTATTTTTGGGATGCTGTTTGTAATATTTAGATTTTTAGATGGTTATTTGTATATAATTTTAGAATTTTTAGGATATTGTTTATGCTTTTAAAAAATTTCAGGATGTTTTTTTTATATTTATTATATTTTAGAGGTCTTTTCTCATCACTACAACAAAATACAACATTGCCGACGAAACAAAACGTCGGCAAAAGTTTAAAAAACGTTGGGAAAATCTTTCTCGACGCAAAATGCAGCATCACTAACGCGTCACCAAAAGTGCGTCAAAGAAAATATTTGGCGACGTAAACACACTGCGTCGGTAAAAGTCAACACTTTTGGCGACGCTTCATGCGTCTGGAAAAGTATATCTTTTAGCGACGCATAGTATTTTGTGTCAGCAAAAGTATGTAGAATTTTTTCATATGCAAAAGTGCGTCAACAAAACTTGTACTTTTGGCAACACATGCAGCGTCGGCAAAAGTCAATGCGTCGACAAAAATATAGCTTTTAGCGATGCAAAACTGTTCGTCGCTAAAAATAATACTTTGTCGACGCAAGTTAGCGTTGGCAAAAGTGTAGACTTTAGCGACACAGAATGAAGCGTCGCTAAAAATTATATCTTTGGCGACGCAAGATAGCGTCGCTAAAAGATATTACTTTAGGCGACGCAAGATAGCGTCGCTAAAAGATATTACTTTTAGCGACGCAATATAGCGTCGGCAAAAGGGTTACTTTTAGTGACGCTTTTTAGCTTACACTGAACATGAACATCCATAAAAAATTTGCTTCCATTCACATCAACAAAGAAACCAGACATCAAATTATACTCCGAACAAGTTGCATATTATGATAAACAAAGAATTTGCTCCCATTGCAAAATAGTTACATTCATTTCCATTTCTAAGTCAACACTCAAAGACCTGTTTACATATTCCAGTTTGCTTGTAATCCATGAAGGAAAAAAAACACAATGGAAAGAGAGGAAAATGTGAAAAAAAAGAAAGAAGGGAACAACTGTTTAAATATTCCAGTTTGCTTGTAACCTCATGACAAGTTGCTCTCTGCTTCCAAGATAATCAAATCCAAGTTCTTGCATAACAAGAATGAAACAGCATAAAAAATAGATGTGAATGCGAGTGTAAAAATTTCACAAATCTCTGATTCAAATACTTGTAAATCCTACAGACACGATTTCAAATACACTATTTCAGAATTTCTAATTATATGATTGCCAGTTGGTTATAAAAATTAGTTTCTGATCTAAGTATACAATGATGTAGGTACATTGGCCAATCATTGGTCTATTGTTTTGGTTCAATTGTAGTTTGAATACCTAAATACATATACCTTAGTTTCTCTACAATTTTGTTATCCAGTATTCTCACACCTCTTGCAATCCACGTATTTTCCTTTAGTTGATTTGTAGCTAAATACTCCAGTTCTCATCTAAGTCACACGTGATAGGTTTTTTTGGACACCAATATTTGTCAAAGGTATAACAATAACAACAGTGATAAAGATAATTTGGCTTCTTTTGGACCATATCCATCATCATGGTCATTTAAAAGAAAATTATTTTAGGTATTAAACTGCATACACAATCATACCAAAGTATATAAATGCTAATAGTCAGGAAATTTTTGGGTACTTAGTGTAGTTAACTTGAGACTACTGAGGATTATCGACATGCTCCCTCATGAATGATCCTTTAGACAGGGACTAAGATTTGAAGGCTAATATTGGATTCTTTTCAGTTGGAAAAAGAAAACAAAACGAAAGGAACAGACAGTAAAAAAAAGAAGAAGAAGAACAGAACACTTTCATAAAAAAGAGAAGAACAATCAAATTCCTAGGGTTAATTGCGAATACACCCCCTGTATTATCTCTCAATTGTGCATAGCCCCCTTGTATTTTGGAAGCCACATAGATTGTCATCAGTTTTTATATGAAAACAGAGATTCACCATTTACGTTGTTACAAACATATCACCTCTTCTTGTAGACCCATACTGGTCCCTTAATCCTTCTGAGTACTAACCTATTTATTAGTGAGACTAGAACATCTTTACCTAGTTATGATTAATCCTTCTGAGTACTAACCTATTTATTAGTGAGACTAGAACATCTTTACCTAGTTATGATCCAGTTAATTCATATCCAATAATTTCATGTCTTTATTAGTGAGACTAGAACATCTTTACCTAGTTATGATCCAGTTAATTCATATCCAATAATTTCATGTCTGGTTCTTGTCACTCCAATTTTGAGACTAGAACATCTTTACCTAATTATGATCCAGTCCATTCTTAAGATTCACACACACTTGACACATTTATGTATGTGTATATAATAAATGTTGTTTAAAAATATATAGCTGAGATGATGAAGCATGGAGCAAATGCTGCTTCTAGGAAACTGATTGAAGAAACTGTGGAGTTTTTTTTTAGTTCTATTTACTAACTAATGTCAGTTTCTATCTATGAGCATGTTTGGTAACTTTGGATTATAACTTTAGTAAATGATTATCCTTAAAGATTACTTTTAAGTTAATTCTTAATGAAAAGTCCTTCTAAGATAATCAGGTGTCCAAATGTTTTCACGAGTCACTAGCTATTAATCCAAACAATCCCAGGACCATGATATAGGAAAGTGTAAGGCTAATGTTGTATTATGATTATCCTAGCATTACATTTAATAGTGTATGTCGAGAAACCATAAATAAGTCTAATAAGGAAAAATTAAATGCAAGTCTAACCTCATCTCGATGAGAAATCTCTACTCCGCTCGCTCAAGGCTGGCTACGTGCAAATAGCTGATGCACTAAATCCTCAAGATCAGTAGTCTTTTGAGCTTGTGCGTTCATATGCTCGGCTTGTGCGTTCATCTGCTTGGCTTGTGAGGCAATATGCTCGGTTTGTACAGCTAATGTCTCCTTTAAAGCCACGACCTCAGCATCTAGCTCAGCTGACTTTGCAATAGACCTGGTAGATGAACTCCTTCGAAGGTAGATCCCATAAACCTTCAGATAATGTAAGGACCATGAATTTTCAATACTAGTTAAAATAATTTTCTGGTATTTTAAAATATTTAATTGTCATTTTTAAAAGAGTATTTGTATTTTTTTTGATTTTCTAGAAATTTTCTATGATTTAAAATCCAAGTTTTATATTTATTTAAATAATATTAATATTTATAAATTAACTTTATGCAGTGAAAATTTTTGGAATTAATATATTGTTATTATTGATATTATTAATGTATTATTTTTTTAATAATATATCATATTATTATTACGCGTCATTAATTCGTTGTAATAATACATTTATTATTAATTAGGTATTATTTTTAATAATTTATTATATTATTTTTTCTGTTGTAATATTATCAGTTGTATTAGTAGCAACAGGGTACGCTTTTCGCGTAGATAATTTTCTGTATATTTAGTTAATTTTGTTTAGTACCTGTAATTAATTATATTATTAGTTAAATACCGTAAAACCCTAACGCCTAAAATTAGCAGATTCGCTATATATCATATAGTATATATATATATATATATTTATATATATATATATATATATTATATATATATATTTATTTATTTATTTATTTATTTATCACGCCCCTCTGCTCATCGTATTCATTTTCAGCGCTGGCGCACCCGCGCATGCACCTTTCTCTCTCCTTCCTGCTCTCTCAGGTTGCGCCGAGACGCAACCGCCAGCGATCACCCAACGCCCCCGCTCGGCCGCACCACCTCTGCCGCCTGACCGCCGCCTCCGACCCTCCACCTCATCGACCACCCAAACCCGCAACCCAACTCCGCCCCAACACCGCCCGATGCCTCCCCTTCGTCTACGCTCCTGTTTGTTGGAAATTTGCAGTAGACAGACAATGAAAGAAAATTTTGACTTGTATTCCTCTCAAAATCAATTACAATTTGGATTCCGATTACAAAAGAGAGGAGAATGAATTTGATTCTCCCTTTGTTTAAAACTGGGTTCTTCTTGGTCGCGGTGGAGTGCCTCCTTCGATTGATCGCGTCGAACTTGCTCTCCGTTGACGATCCGACTGTCCTATCTCACGAAACCGATTGAATTGCTTGATGAATTCGGTTTAGAACTCTTGACGAGTATAAAGAACTCAGAACGAGTTGAAAACTCTGACAAGAGTTGTTGAAAACTGAATGTCTGGTTTGATGTGATTAAGTTGGGTTGCAAGCTTAATCACGAACTCCTAAATGAGTTTCAGAAATAAACTCAGAGCGAGTTAAAACTCTGTGAAAGAGTTGTTGGAACCGAAAATTCAGTTAATTGCCAAGTGTATTATGACGTTGACGAAAGGATCCTTTGGGATTTGATTAACTGATCATTGATTAGTTCCTTGATCTTCAAAAGATCTTCTTCTTCGTACTGTTGAACTGCTGAGATTTGTTGACCTTAGGCGGTTTTGATGCCAGCTCACCTCAACCCTATGCGGTTTTTCTGCTAGAAACCGATCAACCCCTTACTAAGTTGAGTAAGTCGGTTATTTATAGGGGGATTAGGGTTGTAACCAACCCCTAAATCTGCTCCTGAGTGGGCGAAGATCCCTCAGAACGTGGGATAACGGTTCTAAGGCCGTTCGGTTTGCGTTTGAACAAGTCAAAATGCCTTAGTTGGCGTTCTGGGTTTTAACTCTGCGTCCAAGGCTTGAGACGCAGAGTTAAATCTCTGTTAGAGATTTGAGACGCACAGGCCGCATGCGTTCTGGAGTTGGAGACGCACTGATCGCTGGTGCGTTGAAGTTCAACTCTGCGTCCAGAGTTTGGGACACACAGTTGAGCCTGTTGAAGAACGCACGTTATGTGTGCGTTTAGTGCTTTAACTCTGCGTTGCAGAGTTAGATATTTGCTGGAGAACGCACAAGTTGTGTGCGTTTCGCAGAAGTGACCTTCTGCGTTTGATAGAGGTTGTTGACTTGTAACCTCGTCTATTATGACATTGCAAAGGCCATTGCTTATCGATCTTTGCCTGTTATAGGATATGAGAGTCGTCAGATTGTAACTCTCGCTATCGATTGTGAAGGCTACTGAATAGGGTTTTCATCAGCTGTCGAAAGCGTCGTCGAATTGTAACTCTTCTCGATCTGTGTGAAAAATCTCCTATTTGCCCCTTTCGACTGTCGACCCGAAAGCTATTTGATTGTAGCTTTCGTTGTGAGAGCTTGACGGGAATCAACATCCATAGTGTTTTGAAGATGAATATTTGCCCACAGCTCTCTACTAAGCAACTCACCAACTAAGTCCAACCTTTTATTTCTGAAATCATTACACTGCTCATCAGCATCTCTAATAGTTGCTAATATAATATTAGTCATGCTGTTGTCGCAGCCATCAAGATCAATCATCTCAGGGATGAGGCTGTGTTTATAGCGGTTGCAGAGTTGCGGATGCAGTGATTAGAAAGTCGTCTGATTGTAACTTCCATTATCAGGACTTGATGGGGATCGGCTATCTATTGTGATTTTTAGACAGCCTACAGAACCCCCTCCAAAGTTTTCAAAAGTTCACGATTGACTGGGACGAATTTTCGGAATACTTTGGACCCTGTTTCTTCTTGGCTTTAGCCGCCTTGATGGCTGACATTAGCCTCCCTCTATTTATTTGGAACCATGTCTTGGCTATTAACATAGAGGAATTCGTCTGATTGAATTAGAACGCACAGATAGATTTCTTGCGTTATCGAACCGAAACGCAGGGTTAAATTCTGCGTTTAAGAATTCCATCAATGCAGACGCACAAGCGGATTATAACGCAGAGCTGAACTCTGCGTTTAGAAGCTCAAGCATCACAGGCGCACAGGCCACATTTGGCGGGCATTTGGGACTATGATCCCGACCCGATTTGACAGCTCATAGCTGTCTTTAAATAGACCGCTAAGGGTCAAATCAAAAGTCACCCGACTTTTTGTCTCCTCTCTTTCGGAAGATTTTTAACGAAGCCTCTTCGTTTTCAACTCCGGTGACCCTGCTCGTCTTCTCTGACCCTCTTCCATGGGTTCCAAGAAAAAAGCTGCTCCTCGCCCAAGATCTCCTGCTGCAGCAGCGCCACCGTTTCAGGTTCCACCCGTCGGAGGTAAATGTCGCCCTTCTTGGCCGTCAAACTTGCTTCGGCAAGTTCTTTAAAACCCTGGATGTATTGCCGTCAAACTTGCTTCGGCGAGTTCTCTGAAAAACCCTAGATGGGTTCTTGCAAACGAGAAAGATGACTCGTTTTGTTATTGTAACGCAGAGTTAAGACTCTGCGTTTTGAATTCGAAACGTCAGGGGCCTGACTCTTGCGTTTATGAAATTTTAACGCCAGATTTGAACTGTGCGTTCGAAAACTTAATGCAGAGTTTGACCTCTGCGTTGATGAAAATTAACGCCAGGTCTGGACCGTGCGTTCGAAAACTTAACGCAGAGTTTGACCTCCGCGTTGATGAAAATTAACGCCAGGTCTGAACTGTGCGTTCGAAAACTTAACGCAGAGTTTGACCTCTGCGTTGATGAAAATTAACGCCAGGTCTGAACTGTGCGTTCGAAAACTTAACGCAGAGTTTGACCTCTGCGTTGATGAAAATTAACGCCAGGTCTGAACTGTGCGTTTGAAAGTTTAACGCAGAGTTTGACCTCTGCGTTGATGAAAATTAAACGCTAGATCTGAACTGTGCGTTTGATAATTCTCTTTCTTATGGGCTCAAATAAAATTCCCTTCATTTGACTGATTGAATATTTCTTTCTTTTGCAGTGCCTTACGCCCGCGAACCTCTCAATCTTCGTCACCACTTCGGACGTGGGGGCGGCGTGGACTTTAACATGCAATTCAATCTGTGTCAAGAACTTCCAATATTCCAAGACACCGACACAGATCGTGTCACCCTGATCTCAGATCCAAATACAGATGTACTCAGGGTTTTAGTTACGGACGCTAAGTTTGAGACTGGTTCTCACAAGAAACTCGCCAAGCCAGCTTTCTTATTTGGGGATCGCGTCACTATCTCAAAGGAGATCGATCGTGCACGGCGGTCACTACAAATGGCTTAGGCAGATCGGTGATCGTCGCTTCTTCCTCCCTGACATGCACAGGATGTTTCCCATCTCCTACTACCAATGTGCTTCTGTTCCCCGTCACATGAATTGGGACTTGGTGAGAGAGCAAGATGGGGTAGCTGTTGGGGTTTTGACTCACAAGGGTGTGCATACCGCTGGTTATAATCGACAAGTGTCGGCCTTGGAACCTTGCTTATTCTCACGGGGATATCCTTTAGGAGAAACAGCTAGCCCAGCTAACACTTTCATGCGACGATTTTTGGCCGCCAAAGGAGAATTCCCAACTGCAGTATTCCGAGCTCCTGGATGGGTACATTCCACCAAAGCAGGATGGTGGGTACGAATGATAGAATTCGTGTTGTCGGAATTGAAGGGACCATTAGCTCAATCTGGGCTTGCTTGCCCTATTATGGCTACTAAATATGGAATCGCTCTCAGTCCATATAACTTCTTCGCCATTCTGGAGCGGTACAATCCAGAGACTTGTACGTTTTTCACACCAGAAGGAGAATTAGGGTTCGCCCTGCATGAGATGTTTGATGTCTCAGGTCTTCCTTTTAGAGACCTGCCATACGAGGAGTTTATTCCCGGATCAACGGAGCTGAAGATCTTGAAGGAGACGATCCCCGAGGTATATGACACTCTATGGGAGGTGATGTGTCATTTCCAAATCTGCGGCCAACTGACAGAGGCACGCGGACGTGGTATCAAACAGCTATCCTGGGCCGAGTATCTTTTCCAGAATTTGTCTAACAAGGCTGCCACCGTATCTCGTCGGGAGGCGAGCACTCCTGAGACCATTCAGGCTTTGATCAATGACGCCACCATTCACTATGTCAGCGAGGGAATAGAAGATGACTTCCCAGCACAGACTGAATTCGAGAGCTTCCATCACCAGGCAGCCACTCCCATCTCTGATATGGCATTATTAGCGGGTTTTCTCATGCT